TAGAAGTCTCATTTAATGATTTCTTAGTACTGATGGATAATTTCATTCACTCAGATGAGTTATCTAAAGATTTATTATTTGAAGAGTTCGAAAAAGCGTTCAAAACACTAAAAAACAAATAAAGCAGTTGGACCGGATGAAATCAAAGGTAACATAATTTTAGATTGCTTTGAACAAATAAAATATATTCTTTTTAAAGTCTTTAAATCATCAATAGAACAACGAGTCTTTCCTGATCAATTAAAATTGCTAAAGTTAATTGCGATAACTAAAAATCTGGCCAAATTTAAAATTGTATAACTTTTTAACGGAGTGATCAATTTTAATAATTTAAAAAGTATAATAACAAAAAATAATAATAAAATTTTAAAAAATTATAAGTTTTTCATGCCATGACGACGAACGGTGTCTACTCTTGTAAATGTTGCGGCAGCTAGCCGATGTACACGTTCTATGTTGATTTCCTTAATTGAAAACTCGATCCGCTTTTTAAGTTTTTCTAGATTTTCAGCTTGCCAGTTTTTATTATACACTAATCTCTTAAGTTCAGACCAAAAATCTTCAATTGGACGTAATTCTGGCACATTAGCAGGGTTATGCTCTTTTGGTACAAATTTAATATTTTTAGCTTTTAGATAACCTTGCACTTTTTGCGAATAATGTGACGAAGCTAGATCAGGCCAAAAGACAATATTGTCATTTTTATGATATTTTTCAATAAATTTCTCTAATCTAACAAGACATTTTGAATTATACACATCTTCATTGACTGCTTGGCCTGCCGGAGCGATGTACTGCTGAGAGTTTCCTTTCGTCAAGAATACAATCCAAACAAGTAACTTTGGCTCAAATTTGTCATTTCTTTTTAACTTTACATCATTTGATGCTGTATTTATGTCAGAAGAATAGAATCCAGCATTTCCGGAAATATTGATGTTGCTTAAATAAAAATACGATTCATCGTCAATAATAACTACTTTTTTCCTTAAAATCGAAACCAATCTACGGAACTTTGAACGAACAGCTGCTTTTTGAGTCGGTGTTCTTTTAAGTGTTTTAGTTTTTTTAAGATAACGAATACTAGTTTTTTTGTGAATAATTTTGCATATGTACGGTTGTGATACATGGGATCGTTTTGCAAGACCATGCTGTGAAATACCATCCTTTTGATCAATCGAATTTTTAAGACGCTTTATCTCTTTTTCAGACATCTTTTTTGCTTTGCGACCACTTCCAACTTTTCTTTATGGTCCTATATTATCTCCTTTCTTTGAAGTATATTATAAATAGTAGATTTTGGTATGTTTTCCATTTGAAAAAACAATAAAGCTTTTATTCTTATCTGGATGCAAATCCAAAAATGCGTACACTCGTTTTCTAAGGGAGTCTTTGTTACAAATCTTTTTTTTCATTTTTAATTATTACTAAATATTTTTTTTTTTTAATAATACATTTAAAGAATTAAATTTGTAACAAAATAGAAGTGATTGCAAGTATATTTTAAAACAGCAAAACTTAAGAAACTTTATAGTTTTCAGAAACATGCCTGTAGAATCATATACTTTAAAAATAGTATGGAATATTTTTCAAAAAGGGTTCAAAGGTACGGTGAGTTCGTTAAGTTCATTCAAGTTTTTAACAAAAAAAGAAATTTTTAAAACCTGTGAAACATTTTTTGTAAATAATGCTTTGAATAAATTCTCTTAAATACGTTTTTGTTTTGTTTCTACTTTTGTTTGTTGCTTGACAAATTTTATAAGCGGATTACGCATTTTGTTATGATATATTATTGAAATTTTTATTTTGTATGTCATATTATGATATTTTAATTAAATCTTGTTAAAGGGGTTCTATGAAAAAATTGCGATGACGTTCTGTCATCCTCATCTTCTTTGAGCCCCTATGCGGTAGTGGTGTAGTGGTAGAGCGCTCGCTTCATAAACGAGTGGTTCCGAGTTCGATCCCCACCACGTCCCTGGTAGTACCGTGCTCAACTCGTTTCTCCGCGCAGCGGCCTTGTTCGTCAAGGTTCGTGTTTCGGAGTTATAGAGTTGAGAGAGGGTTATAGCCACATAATAAGTAGCCTCCTCGTCTGTAGTGGCCTTCTCGGCCTTGAGGAGGTGAAGTAAAATAAAAAAAAATCTGTTTTACTTATTTTGTTAAATTTTATATTATGTAGTGGAATTTGTAAAATTCCATGTTATGTAAACAGAGAAAGGAAGAAAAAAAAAAAAAAAATTAAATTATCCTTTAAATTTTAATATTTATTCAAACTTTGTTAAGATTTTTAGTAATCACATGTTCCACTTTTCAAAGGTGACAAATCTGATATAAGTAATTACCGACCTATTTCTATGGGATCTATATTTTCAAAAATATTAGAAAGAATCATGTTCAATAGAGTATTTAATTAATTTAAATAATTTATTATTCAACAATCAGTTTGGCTTTAAAAAGAATAACTCAACTGATCATGTAATTATCCAGTTGGTGAAATCTCCTTTTGAATAATCTCAATTTACATTTAATACCGTCGATCATAGTATTTTGCTTTGTAAACTTAGTTATTACGGAATAAACGAAAGAGTAATTAAATGGTTTCGAACAGAAAACAATTTGTTTCTTGTAATGAACTTAATCAGAAACAGTTTTTAAATGTTCCCTGTGGTGTTCTGCAAGGTTCCATCTTAGGCCCTCTTTTGTTTCTAATATATATCAACGACTTGCCTAAAGCATCAAATCTTCGAAGTATTGTCTGCTGATGACACAAACTTATTTCTCTCTAACAGTGACATCTATCTACTTTTCTCCATGATGAACAAAGAACTTCAAGACATATTAAATGGTTTAAAAGTAACAAATTAACATTAAATATAAGCAAAACAAAATGGATTTTTTTCCACTTGCTCTCCAAAAAACGTTTTCTACCTCCAAATCTACCAAAAATTCTTATTGACCATATTGAAATTAAAAGAGATTCTGTAACTAAATACCTGGAGGTCTTCATTGACGAGAACATCACATGGAAACATCATATTAATTATGTCTGCTCGAAAGTTTCAAAAAGTATCGGAATTTTATATAAGGCGCGTACTCATTTAGATAAAAATAATTTAAGTAAACTTTATTACTCTTTTATCCATAGTTATATTTTTTATGGAATTTTTGCCCGGGGTAGCACTGATCAAAGCAAGTTACAATATCTCTATCGCCGTCAGAAACATGCGTTCCGTTTAATTATTTCTGCAGATCGGTTTTTTTTTTTTTTTAATTTTGTTACAATTTTTGCCGTAGAAAGTTACAATTTATAAAATAACATAAATAATAAAACAAATGGCTGGAGCAAGAAGAAAACATCAGTTTGTCTTATCACCGAGCCCCATTGTGACTTCATTACCGAACGTTTTTTACAACAAAATATATAAAATCGTGATAAATGTTTGTGATAAAATATATAAAAATGTGTATAACTGTTTATATATAAATTCGTATTGTAAAATAAATTTAAAACAAGTAAAAGTTAAAGCAAATAAAAGAAATAAATTGTGCTAGTTTATATTATTTTACTAAAAAAGAAAAAGAAAATTCAAGTCCGTAGATGATAAAAAATGCTTTGATTCAGATTTAAACTACTCAAGTGTATTTTTTTTGATAGTAGCAATCTGGGGAAAAAATTTCCATAAATAAAGTCCGCGGTGTTGGATTAAAGCCCGTTCTCCATTCAGAACTTTTTGCGCTTTGGAGAAGCGGAAAAGTTCTTTGAGCATGCGCAAACAGTTTTTTTAAACCCGTTCTCCAATCAGAATTTTTTGCGCATGCTCAAAGAACTCTTCCGTTCCTCCTAAGCGCAAATAGTTCTGAATGGAGAACGGGCTTAAGTATGAATTTAACTTTAATGTAAATTTTGGGATGATAAAGTTGTTATATGAAAATCTAGTAGGATATTTATGACTTATTTCTCGAAAATAGGGTTGAAATATATAGATAGTCCATCTTTTATTTTGCGCATTAACTGTAAAACAAGATGTATGTTAATTTTGTATATATTCAACGCTCCAAGTTTGCATAAGAGAGGTTCACATGACACTTTTTTACTTACTTCGAAGACAAATCCACTGGCATGTTTTTGTTTACTGTAGAGTTTTTTAAGCTTAGTATAATTTGTGCTTGCCCAGGCCATGTTACCATAGGTTAAGTGACTATGTATTAATGAAAAGTATAAGTTTTTTAAGGAAATGATGTTTAGGAAAGGTCTTGCTTTATACATCAATGAAATATTTCTTGAGAGCGTTCTCTCTAAAGTGTTTATATGGAGCTTCCACGATAAATTTTCATCCAAGACCACACCTAGAAAGTTTATAAAAGTTTATCTTTTTATATTAGAATTATTTATTTTTAGATCAGGTAGTTTAAGAGGAATATTTTCATTTTTATTTGGTTTATGAAATAGGATGAATTTGGTCTTTTTGACATTCAAAAAGAGTTTGTTACACCTGAACTACTCGTTTATTTTATGTTATTTTTTGTTAACATTTTAAAAAGTGTCTTAATGTCTCTATGTGAATAAAACAAATCGCAAACAAGATTAAATTTAATAAGTTTGATGTTAAGTATAAATCATTTATATAGAGTAAAAATAATAATGGTCCCAAAATCGAGCCTTGGGGAGCCCCGCAAGTTATGGCGCTAATTGTTGTTTTTGTTGTTTCATACTGAATATATTGTTTTCTGTTTGATAAATAATCATTAAATCAAAGTAAGTTATTATTTTTTAGTCCATACACTTCGAGTTTTTTAGAGGAATATTGTGATTTACGGTGTCAAAAGCTTTAGAAAGATCAATAAAAACTCTTAACGTAAAGCAATCATTACTAAAAGCATTAGATATTTGATTAACTAGCTCAATTATAGCATGGTCTGTTGAGTGTTTTTTTTTAAATCCAAATTGTTTACCGTATAAAAAATTGTTTTCCGTTAAATAATTGTAAAGTCTATTATACATGACACGTTTTAGTAATTTGGAAAAACATGGTAAAACTGATATAGGTCTATAATTATTAGTATTAAAATCATCTCCAGATTTAAAAACTAGGGTGACTCGGGCAGTTTTTAGTTTATCTGGGACAATGCCTGATTTCAGTGAAAGATTAAAGATGTGATGCAATGATGGATTAATGATATCAAATACTGTTTTCACGACAAAGCTACTGATATTATCGAAGCCCGCACTTTTGTTATTTTTTAGAGTGTTTAAAGCGGATCGCAATTCATTAGAATCTAGATGTATTTCTTTCATAATCTTTTCTGAAGTAAGGTTCTTAATCAAGTAAGAATGAAATGTTGCAGAACTCGACGGAATTTCTGCTGCTAATTTGTGACCTACATTAAGAAAAAAGCTATTTAGATATTCAGCTATTTTTGTCTTATCACTGACTAACTTACCATCAATCAAGATTTTTTTCGGCAGATTGTTTTTTGCACAGTTATTATTACCGATTATTTCTTTAATCGTATTTCATGTTTTCTTAGCATTTTCATTGTTTTTTTGTAACAAATTTGAATAATAAAGCTTTTTTGAGTATTGTTTTGTTTTTTCAAACAAGTTTTTATAATTTTTGTAAGTTATTTCATTTTTATAAGTTTTATATTTTAGGAATTTGTCGTAGAGTTTTTGTTTTTTTCTTCAGGATTTAATTAAACCTTTAGACATTCAAGGAGTTAAAAGTGACTTTTTGTTTATAACAACAATTTTAACTGGAAACGCTTTTTCATAATATTTACAAAATTGAGCTAGAAAAAGTTTGTAGGCGTTGTTCGCATCGCTTGATTGCAATATAAGATCCCAATCAACATTATTTTTTAGTAAACTTTTGAATTTTTATAAGGAGTTTTGATTGATCTCTCGTTTGTATATAGGAGGTTTAAGAGAGGTATTGTTTGGTGCTATGTTTTTAGTAGTTAAGAAAGTGGGAAAGTGATCTGAAAGGTCTGTCTTAATTATACCTGTGAAAACATGGGAGTTGTTGGTTATTATATTATCGACTAAGGTAGAAGAACTTTTAGTTATTCTAGTTGGCTTAATATATTGTTTGTATACAGTACCGGCATTAGGGAGGAGGGGGGGGGCGAGGTTGGGCGCCGCCCAAGGGCGCCAGGAAACTGGGCGCCAAACGTTGTATGCAAACTTTAACAATATAATAAATAGAAAAAATAAGTCAACCTAAATTTTTTCGATTTCGATTTTCGATTTTTTGTTATTTTTTCGAATGTTTGTTTTTTTTATAAAAATAATTTCTTTAAATAATTTATTGTATTATTACACTGTTTATTAATTTTACATAAAATTCTTTATGCAAAATTAATAATTTGATTAAAAGTGTTTCAATCATAGCATATATTTTGTTACTTAAATTCATTTTTTTACTTGTATCTTTCTCGGCGCCAATTATTTTGCGTTCCATTTATTTAAAGTTTAAATTTTAAACATTATTTTCGGTACGAGTTCGAGCGCGTTGTTTATTAATTTGTAGAAGAAATTTAAAGTTGTATTTGTGATTCAAATTCAGTTTTTGTCAAGTTTTCAAATTTTGCTGTAATAAAAAGCATGTAAGTATAAATAATGAAATTGTTTATGAATTATTAGCTTGCGAGTAATTTTTTATTTTAAAATTTTAGACAAATAGAAACTGTCAGCAGCAATCAATAGAAAGTACTCATAATAAAGAAAAAAATGTTTTTAAAACTCATAATAATAAGAAACCATCTGGTGCTCAATACAGAAAACGTAAAGCAGAAAAAGTTGATAATTTGAAGAAAAATTATTAAAAACTTGAAAATTTTTTTACATCGGAAAATAGTGATTGTAATAAAATAAAGGAGAAAATGTTGTGCATGTACTTAGTGATACATCAACCAGCGATGAAGAAGACGGAATAGTGTCAGTTGGAAATGTTCACTACGATGAAAAAGATATCGATAACGAAAATGATGATGGCCAAGAAGGTGATGTAAATGATCGCACCAAAGAAACAGCAATCGATTACTCAGACTGTGGTTTGTGGCCAATTCATCGCAACATTCAATTTGTTGATTATGTAATTAATATAGGTGCAACACAAGTGAATTTGGACACATTACCACGCGATAATAGAAGACGACATTTTTCAAATGCTTATTACAACCGAAAACTTTCAAATGATGAGGTTATTTCACGACGTTGGGTTGTGTACTCAGTTTCTAAAGATGCGGTATTTTGTTTTTGCTGCAAACTTTTTGATTTCAACATGAATTTAAAGTTAAACGGAAATGGATTCAATAAATGGAAGAATTTAACTGAAGCATTAAAAATTCACGAAAATAGTAAGTCACACAGAATTGCTTATCAACTATGGATTGAGACAGAAATACGAATGAAAGCTGGTGAAACTATTGATAAACAAGAACAAAAACTAATCGTACAGGACAGTTTAAGGTGGTGAAGTGTTCTTGAACGATTGATGAACATTACTTTATACTTGGAACCATTGTGTTAACATTTTTTGTGTAAACATGGGTAAGGGTAAAGGCATAAGTCTAAGTAAAAATTCAGAAGTAAAAGCAATTTTTCAGCATTCAGAGCATTCACAACGGGAAATTGCTAAAATGTGCAAAGTTTTACAACCTTTTGTCAATAAAGTCAAACACAAAATAGAAAACAACACCACATTTTATCGAAAAAAGAAAGGATGGAGTGGGTCAAAACGTAAAAACACTCCCAGGACAGACAGAAAAATGAGATATTTATTTTAAAAATATCATCCCTCTTACTAACAAAACTTGTTCAAGAGTCTGGGATACAAGTTTCGGAGCGTGCAGAGAGAAGACATCTGGTTAAAGATGGTTTAAAATCACACAAACCGGCTAAAAAACCAAGGCTAACTCCAGTAATGATAATAAAGAGATTGCAATTGGCAAAAAATCATAAGCATATGACTGTATGGAAATTGGAAACGTATAGGTTTATCAATTTTGAACAAATGTTGATATAAACTTATTGAAAACTACATTTTAAATTTTTTCAGGTGCTTTTTTCAAACAAATCAACTTTTGAGATCTTGTTGGACAAAGGCACCTTAGTCCAAAGAAAACCAAACAAAAAATATCATCCAAATTGCATTGTACAAACTATTAAACATCCGTTTAAAGTTATGATGTGGTCAGTTATCAGTGGTAGAGGCACAGGCAGACTATATATTGTCAATGGGATGATGAACCAAATACAGAATCGAGAGGTTCTGGAATAAATAGAAGAATGGTTTTCAATAAACATTACGTTTAAGTTTATATGTGATAGTGCTCTATGCCATAAAGCTAAAAGCATAACAAGCTTTCCTAAAAGCAAAAATATCCCCGTTTAAGACTGGCCAGGGAACTTTCCTGAACCTGATTGAGAATTTGTAGAACATTCTCAAAAAGGAAATCTCTTTCGAGGTTTCAAAAAACAAAAGTGATTTGATTGAAAAATTAGTCTATCATTGGCACCACAATGAAAAAATTAGGACAGAAACAATAAACTGTATTAAAAGTATACCTGACCGAATAGCTAAAGTTAGTTCGTTGAAAAGAGGAAGGATGAATTATTAATACTTTTTTATTACTTACAATCGAAAAAAGTAATTGTATGTTAAAATGTAAATTGATTTTGAATTATTATATTATTATTAAGGAAATATGTTTTATCAATATAATATAACTAATATTGCATGTGTACCTTTTTTATACTTTTTACTAACACCCTTGAAGTTAAAAATACACAAAAATTGTATGCGATCATAATATTGTGGCTAGGGACTTTACATACTCTAGAGTTCTTAAGACAAAGGGGAGGAGAAGAAATTTATTAGTTATTGGAAAATTTTTTCACCCTTAGACTATTAAGGACCCACCCCCTTTTTTTTAGTTTTAATATATAAAAAAATTTTTATTTTAAGAATAAATAAAAAAAATTCAGTGTAAATTGGCCTTAAAATTAGAAAATAATTATTTCAGTCGTAGAAACAAAAACCTTCAGTGTAAACAGGTTTTAAAAATCGTCAACCTAGTAGTAAATCTCGATTTACCCTTGGTTTATTTCTAACTAAGGTATAAAACTTATATTACCATACTAAATCCTATTGAATTTATGATAAAATAGTTATTAAAAAAATGCGCATTTGACCGCAAGCCACACTAGAATTAAATAGTTTTAAGCGTGTTTTGAAAAATATTAGTTTGGATTTCTAAATTGAGATTTTTTATAAATAATATATATATTGTAACATGACGTCAGATTGAAGTTTTTACAAACTGACCGAGATAAAAATAGTTATATAAGAAAAAAATGCTTTAGGCATTGTGTTTTTTAGTCATTTTTCATAATGGAATTTTTTATTCAATTTTAGTGTTTTGATATTTATTCATGCATAAAAATGAAAGATTCTCTCCTCCCCTTCTTCTTTTATTAAACTTCCCCCTCCCCCTCCCGTATATTAGATCTGGATTAAAATTACCCACGCCTTTTGTATTAACTCCCTAATACAAGAGGTGGAGAATTTTAGTCCAGATCTAATAATATCTTTTTTTATAATCGTATAAACGGGGCGCAGAGAGGAAGAGGGGGGAGAAGAGAGAGTTTAATAAAAAGAGGGGAAGGGTTTCTCTGCATGAAAAAATATCAAAACACTATAACTGAATAAAAGAATTATATTATGAAAAAAGAGAGCGAATATATATACATACACACACACACACACACACACACACACATATATATATATATATATATATAAAGGGATTTTGAAGGACTAAACTTATAGGACATAAATAATAATAATAAGTAAATAAATGTTTTATTCTTTTTTTAGAATATCTTATAAAAAAAAGGAAGTAAAGTCATAAGATTTTGGAACAGTAATTAATGGAATTTCTAGGTCTATCTACAAGATAACTCATTCATATTTCATAGGATTATATTAAATATATGATTTAGATTGGAATTGTAAATGATTTCTATGAAATCTATACGTTTTTTTTTCCATACGGTGTCCTATAGGACTATAAAAGTAAAAAATTATATTCCTACAAGATTTTGGAACATGACTTTTTAGGATTCCTGTAGGTCCAAACCTGTAGAATTTTTTCATATCCGGTGTCTTATAGAATAAGACTCAAGATTTTAAATCAATTTTTTAAATTCTAAGTTTTTGGGAATTCTTATAATATGTATTTACACAGATTATCCCGTACCAAATCCAGGGATGTCCTATATAATTTTATAGAATATTTTTTAGACTTTTTGACTAGGGAAGATTTAGAAATCGTAAAGATCTTAAAACGTTACTTTACTACGAACACCGTGAACATAATTTCAGTATTTTATTACAGAAATGTGTTTTAAATAAAAAATAAATAACATTCTAATTTTTGTCCATTTTTGAAGAATCTTGACTAAAAAGTCCATAGAGAAACGAATATCTGGCATACCAGTAGACAGATGCACTACTTTTTTTACGGCCTAAGTAATTTGATTAACTTAGATAAGCAAGGGCGAGCAATAAAAATACCAACGAGCAACGAAGCTGAGCATAACATAATGTTTAACGTCAGAGATGAATGATCGGCTACAGTTTTTACTTTTTTCAGAATATCGGTCGAGTCTTTCGTGCAAAATAATAGAAATATTGTAGAGACAAATAAATCAATTATAAAATAGAAATAAATAAATAAATAGAAAAAAATAAACAAATAAATAGACAAATAAATAAACAATTCATTGAAAATTTATATAACGATTAAAATTAATAAAAAATATTATTATTACTAACTTTATGATTAATAATAATAGTTATAAAATTATAATACTGAATAATATAAATATAATAAAACAAATAATATTCTACAAATTTATATCTAGGCTGAAAATGTCAAAATGAAATCCCATCATTAAATTCAAAACTTTCGAACCAACCATTAGAAAATCAAATGAAACCCCAAATGTTAGAGATTATTCGGTTACATATAAATACTTTGAACAAATCAAGAAGTAAAAAACGTGATACGAAAGCAAAATAAGAAATATTAAAATTTTTTTTTACCTAATACAGCTTCTTGTTTTATATTGCTATACTCAACATTTGAACCAATTGCTGTGACAGTTCGAACAAGATGATTATACTGAAAAAAAAAAAATAAAAGCTTGATTTTACTCATCATCTTTTGAATTGAAAATGGTTTTTAAAAAATAACAGGTACCTGATCAGACACATATAACATTCTATTCTTTCTATCAAAAGCTAAGCCAGATGGATAATAAAACCTTGCAGTTCTTCCTACACCATCTTTTTTACCTTTAAACTCTCCAGCTAATGTCTTTACCAAACCTATGAAGAAATAAACTTTCATTCCGTAATATAAAAACAGTAATAAAAAAAAGCAAGTACAATTTTTTAATACAACATTAACGGTCATTTAAAAATTACTCTAAAAATAAATAATTGAATAAATTATCAAATTATTCAACATCAAACACCTTGCATTGATACTACTCTAATGTTATGATTCTCCTAAATAAAATAAAGGAATTATTAATATGTTATAATATAAACACATTATAAGATTAACTTAACAGTAAAAATTTTAAAATCTTATAAATTTTGATTAACACCCCCAAAAATAAGATAAACCAATCCAACCTAAGAAATAATTTCTTTTAACATAAAGCAAACAGACAAACAAACAAAAAACAAGTCCCCTTCAAATTTAGCGGCCAAATTTGGTATTTTATTTTGATGTATTTAGTTACCAAGCTGTGGGGGGCTACTACAGTCAACAAGGCTACTTATTTATAATTTTTTTAAACTTTTGTTACAACACTTTTTTAACCCTTTAAAAAATTAATAATTTAAATTGTTTGTATTCTGTTATTTTTATGAATAATTTATTTTTGTTTACATATAATGCAAGAATGGAGAATAACATTATTCCAATACACATTCAATATACATACGGAGTTATAGATTGTCAAGAAGATTCCCCTTTGACTGTGCAGTAAAGGAAAATTACAACCTTTGTGACACCTAATATAAGAATGTAAATGATTTGCAATACTTAAATGCAATTACGAAAAAAAAATGAAAACAAATATCAGATAAATGGAGTGGGTAGCTGAAAAATCAGCAGAATGGAGGAGGTAGCTGATAAATCAGCAGAAGTTCATTTTAAAATGTCAAAGTTAAGTCTTTGCTAAACAATGTTGACTTTAAGAAAAAATTATCTTCTTTGCTAAACAATGATGTCTTTAAGAAAAAATTATCTTCTTTGCTAAACAATGTCTTCAACAAAAATTATCTTCTTGGTACTTCAATTCTAGAATGAACCCTCACCATATTTGGTTTAGTTTCATGCAGCATGCAACTAGTTTATAACTATTCAACTGTTAATCTGAATTCAACAGATTAACCAAATGAATGCATATAATCTACTCCCTACTTTTTAACAGATAAAGCAAGCAAAAACAGAGTTCACACTTATGTGTTTATAACTTTTGATCATCCTTTATAGTTGAAGGCAATGAGTATTATCAAAGATCAAGAATCAAGTTATAGTTTGCAGACTTGGCGAAGGAAAAAAAATCAAAAGGTTTCCAATTATGGATTCAGTTCAAGAAATATGTTGGTTTAGTTAAAGATTTTAATGCGGAAAAAAAAAGTCAGAACTACTAACTGGTTAATGCATATTTACTCAATTCAAAAAACTTTTTTTTTCCAGCAACTAGATATGCAAATGATGTCAACAACCAAAAGAGCAGCATATTTTTATGGATTATTGATAAAACAAAAAATAAAAATGGTTTGTGGACATAAAAAAAATTGTTATTTTTTCACTAGTACTAATATAATCAGGACTGGTACTAATATATTTAGGACTACAACTAACATATTTAGGACTGGTACTAACATATTGAGGGCTGTTACTAATATGTTTAGGTTAAAACAACTGTTGTAGCACTATAATACTTCTAAATATTTTTCACTAATATATAAAATAATGACTTTGTTTTCATAGTATTTTTTAGTTTGAGTTTAAAAATCAATAATTTAATAGTAATTTTATTTTAAATTTTGGAAACTATTATTACTATTATTATTAAACTATTAATACTATAAACTTATTATTTTTGTGTTTATTTAAAATATAAGCGATTATTTTATTATTTTTGTGTTTATTTTCTATATAGGAGATTATTCTATTGTTTTTGTGTTTATTTTATATATAGAAGATTGTTCATTATTTTTGTGTTTATTTTAAAAGATATATTATTATTTTTGCATTTAAAGAAGTTTATTTTTAATTTGTGAAACATTTTGAAAAAATAATTTTGAAAACAATTCTTTTGATATTCTGATAGAGTTCTACATTTTGTAAGTTTTTAATTTCTACTTTTATTCTTTATTTTCTCTTTATTACTATCTCTTATAATCATCTTTTTTTTTGGAATTTCACAAACCACAAAACACATTAATTTAGATAATATCAAACAAATTTACAAATATGTATGATAAATAAATATACTACTTACAAATTCGCAAACATACAATAAATTATAATCTGGATCGTACACTAAACCTTCTGGGTAATGAATAATTAAATTAACTGGTTGATTATTTAACCCAATCTCAGCACCAAACCCTTGGCTAGAAAGCGTTGTTACATATCCTAAATAAATTTTTTTTTTCTATTATGAAAAGAATGATTTAACTTAATGAGGTTATATAAATTATTAATATATATATATATATATATATATATATATATATATATATATATATATATATATATATATATATATATATTTAAACATATTTTTATTGTAAATATATTTTTCCTGCATAGCATACAAAGTAAACTCAGCTTTACTGTTGGAAATATCAAGTGTAAAGTATTCGAAACAAAACAAATATATGTATTAAACAAACACTACAAAAATATAATTTTTCGAAAACAAACTTAATTCTACTTATTTAACTTTAAAAAAAAAAAGAGAATTATTAAATATAAGTTTCTTTTACTTGTCTACATATCACCTCTTTTAAGGCCCCCATAAAAGAACTTCATTAAGTTAACTATGTAGCTCTCTTCAGTATAAAAAATCAAATGAAACATTTTTACTCCGAAAAATAAATCACTCATCAAACAGCATAAAAACATACTTAATCTAAAAATAAGATAATATCACAATTGATTACTTCGTTAAACTAACATGTCAATAATAACAAAAAAAAACAAACTCTTTTCTAACATGCAACCAAAAAAAATCTATAAGAACGTGAGATAGTAGACTAGTGAACAATGAGTAGAATCTAGTCAAGTATTCTACTAACTAGTAGAATACTAACTATCTAGTGGTAGTGGTCTTTACTGTGGTAATGGTCTCTACTAACTAGTGGTAGTGGTCTCTACTAACTAGTAAACTTGTGGTAGAATACTCAGTTCACAATCATGGGATCAGGGTTCAAATTCACCTTACACAATGGATGTCTATTAAAGTACCATACTTAACTTGTTTCTCAAAACAGTGACAGCCTTGTTTATAAAGGTTTATGTTTTAGAGTTTAGTGTTGAAACAAATTAAAAAAATTGAGTAACCTCCCTAACTGCAACATGGTAGGTGAATTTAATTTAAAAAAACTATTTGATATAAAAATCATTAAAACAGTGATGTTACTGACATTTACTTAAAAAAACTGAATCTTCACATGCAAACCAACAAATCAACCTTTATATAACCTATCAAATATACTTCAAATAAAACTAGCTTTCTTAAGCTATCCCTAATTGACTGAAAAAGCCTTTTCACTTTATGCAAAACAGTTTCAGAATATTAAAGTACCATAGTGTAGCATTGACAACCACTTTAATAATTCATTTAATAGACATCATTAGTAGAAGCATGAGTAAAAAAACTCTTTTCATATTTGTCTCTAAATTCAATTGTATACAGAGCTTTGATAAACAAATATTTAAAATATAAATAATACAAACTTAAACATAGTAAGTTGAACATAACTTTATATGTAGTAAATGCAACACAAAAATGTTATTTCAAGAGATATGTTACAATCAAAAGTCAAATATGACAATTATTTACCTGTTTTTAATTCTATTCTCCTAATTGCATGATTAAACTAGAATATAAAAAAAGAATACAAATTGAGTAAAGTTAAAAAAAAAAAAAGAATATAAATTATAATTTAGTATAAGAAAACTAAAGAAATACACTTCAATACTGAATGTAAAAATACAAGACAATTAAAATATACGTCAATACTGAATGTAAAAATACAAGACAATTAAAATATACGTCAATACTGAATTTAAAAATACAAGACAATTAAAATATACTTCATTACTGAATATAAAAATACAAGACAATTAAAATACTTCAATACTAAATATGAATATATAGATGAACATATAGAAAAAAACTTTTCAACCAAAAATATTTTGGCAATTAATAATCTTATTTCTTATCACAGCTTATGTCCTAATTACATTCAATTCTATTCAAAAAAATAATTTATCATTTAAATCTTTTATATAACTTTTTAATTATTCATTTTTGTACATTTTCTGAAGTATTTTTTATCTTTTTTTAATTCTAATTCATTCCTAACAAAGCTGCAACCAATCACTATTAAGTTAGGAGTTACTAGAGGAAAAAAAAGCTGCAACCAACCACTATTAAGTTAGGAGTTACTAGAGGAAAAAAAAGAATAGAGTTAAAAAGCAAGGAAACAGTTGATAGAAGACTTAAAACTTAAAATAATAAAAATTCTGGAATTGTTTTATTATATTTCGTGTTAAATATTTTCTAATCATCTTTTTAGAACAGGTTTTTAATAAATCAGTGAAAAATTAGAAAAAAAATTATAATTTTGTTTAGATTGTTACATTTTTTTAATTGTTTTTTTTTTTTCAAATTTTCTTATTTAATACAAATAATAGCCTGATTTTGCCTTGCAGCAGTCGGGCTATTATTTGTATTAAATAAGGAAAATTGAAACTTGTTTATTCAACACTAAACATATTTTCTTAATTAAGTTTGATATTTTTTAGAAATTTTTTTAAAACTCATTTAAATTATAATTTGTTATTCACTTTTTAATTAAATCTCATCAAATAGATTTAAAAATATGCGCTTAAAAAATTATATTAAAAACCTTTATTGATAAATGTGCATTACAAAAAATTTTCAAGTAATTTAAAGTATGTTTCATAAACTAAACATACATGGTCATACATACATGGTCAGCAACATACATATATTCAGCAGTACCATCAACAACAATATCGGTAGGGTGATAAAACCTAGCATCTAATTTGTAACCATCTTTAAACCCTCGTGTACCGCCAGCCAGTGTTTTAACTTCACCTAATTAATTAAACATAACTATAGATAAATATCTGAAATGCGATATCTGGAAAAAGTTTGGCTTTTAAATCATTACCTCTTTAAAAACTGTCAACTCTGTTTTGATCACTAAACTTAATAGTTGTTATTCAATAAAAAATACTTATATTGATCTTCAATTACCAAATAAAATCTTATTTTAAAACCATATTATTTCTTTTACTATTTTTAATATATATTTTGGTTCTTTCTATTTATAGATTTCTTTTACTTTTTTTACTATTATTTTTATTATTATTAAAGATTATGATTTAAACTTTAAATATTTTTAGTTATTTTAAAACAAAACAAAAAAACTCTTATGACTTATTTTAAAATATATCATTTTTTTTTTTTTTTTTAATTAATTAATTTTAAATTTAAAACATTTAAATTTTTAAATAAATAATTCCTTAAACTTTCCCTCTAAACAAAAATCAATTTTAATGTTTTTTACAATGTGCAAATAGCATTAGTAAATTTTTTATTGGTTGATTTTTAAATTACTGTGCAAATTTTTCAGACCTTTAGTAATAATTACTTTTTTCTTTTAACTTTTTTTATTTGTAATCCTTAATTTACTTGGTGTTTAAAAAAAAAAACAATAATAAAAAATATGGAAGTTTTGACTGTTATTATTTTTGCAGTAGTAAATTTGTTGTTTTATTTTTTCATTAATTTTTGCAATATGATATATTGACCGTTTCATTAAAATACAAAAAAGTAATCATTAACTGATTATTTTATAAGATGTTCTTATAAAGCATTGCTTTATAAGAGCATATCTTTAGACAATAATTATTTAAAGAATGTAGCAATTAAATTTATGTAACATGATTGTTTCAATTAAATTTATGTAACATGATTGTTTCAATTAAATTTATGTAACATGATTGTTTCAATTAAATTTATGTAACATGATTGTTTCAGGGCGAGCTTTACAGCTTATTGTTTTTTTTTTTAAATAATCACTTAAGTGGGTGTCACTAAATTTTTTTTTAACTTTTGAAATATTAGAGATAATTTTGTTCTGTAAAAAATATATAAACATCAATCTATGTTTTACTTTATGACATTAAATGAATTAATAAAAACTTTCTTCTATTTCAGATTAAATGCGGCAAATGGGAAACTTGGCTAAATTTTAGTAATTATCTGTCACATTTTATCAACGAAAAAATTTAAAAATATATTTTATGTATTTAAAAATAAATTATACACATTGTACAGCACTACAAATCAAAAGAATTTTACTTAAACTTAATTGTTAACTGAAACAGGCATTATTTAAGTAAGTAAAGTAAATTGCATTATTTTAGTAGTAAAGTATTTGTGGTCACGTGATTGTTTTAGAATGAAAACAAAAATTTAGATATAAAACTAGATAATTTTTTTCTGAATCAACCAAGTTTGGAAACATAATTGATAAAATAGCTAGAGGTACAGAAAATAACTTTTTGATTTTCATATTCGTAAAAGATTGAAGTATTACTAATTTCACAGACTTTTCAAAAATATTATGTTTTTTTATTTAAAACAAATTAAAACAAAAATATAAATTCATTAAAAACTAACTTTTTGTAAAAAAATTATCAAAGTCTGCGGAAATCTCGATAGAACTGATAGACCACAGGCCATCTAACTGTATCGTTCAGTTTCGTGGTGCAGTTGTGAGTTCTAACCATTTTACAAATTATTAAGCATTTTAAGGTATAAATTAATGGTTAAAATTTATCAGCTTATAAATGCGCAGTTTTTAAGGAATAGCTGTTTTAAATTTTAAATTTTCAATCTTATCGTGTTTATTGATTCCTATACGCCATTTTAATTTCTAGTCAATTTAATGTTTGTGTATTTTACATAAGACAATAAATAAAGACATGTCTGAATTTTCATAAAATTTATATTCTATAAAATACACATCAACAATGTTTTTGAATTCCATAAACAAAATGTAAGCAAAGTGCCTAACTTTGTACCGACTTGTTAATTCAAGTGTAATCATTGGCGTATTAAATTAGTTTAAATAAAAAAAACTAATGCATATCTATATATACAAAGAGCCAAGTAGAATGAAAAGTGTTGCGGAAAGTTCTCCTAATTTCGTTGGAAAGTTGAATGAAAAAATTGTTTTATTATTATCAACATCAAATACACAGTTCAGGCCTTCTCAGGAGACGCGTGCGGTCGCACACCTTGAATGACCACGCATATATATTTTTTTGATAACATGGCCACAATTTTTTTGCATTTATTAAAAATGAGGCATTTTAATAACGCGCTGAAAAAACCAAATTAATTGCTCATCTTTTTTTTATTATTATTAACAATTCATTATTATAGTTATTAATGAGAAAATAAAAACATTAAAATAACATATATGGGCAATTCCATTTTTAACTTACGTTACACATGCAACAACTTTATCAAATATTTGCTTATTTAAACTTTTAAATTAAACTTTTAGCAATTTTGTATGAAAGCTATTAGTCTAATAAATAAAATAAGCTTAAAAGTTTTGAGTTTGGCCAAAAGAGAGCAAACATATTACTGAAAATGCCACTTGCACTTATGTTACACAGAAAACAAGGTTAAAAAACTGATTCAACTTATAGGTCTCATTTCTGCGAATCAGTAAAGCAGTTTGTATTAGAAACTTTTATAAAATGCAGTGAATTCTATACCAATCTAAAATTTTTATAAAAACTTTTTTTAAATAAACTTGTTTTTTTGATACTGTATTTTTTACTTGAATTACATCATATACATTATCGAGCAGTTATCATGATTTTTTTTTATCTATTATTAAGAGTTAGAGTTACGTAACAAAAGAATTGCATAAGTATTGAACTCATTCATTAAAAATAATTAACAAAGAAATTTTTGAAAAACTGGTGGCACTCTTCCTGAGTGATTTTTCATAACATTCATGAAAGTTATCAAATTGGAAATAGTTTTTTCGCAAGACCAAGAGCAACTTCAGAAAAATATTTTAGTTTTACATCTTTATTATTACTTAATTGAGTCATTGGTTTGTCGAAGTTTTTATTTACACTTCTTACGTTTATGCGTATTGATTTATTTTTATAAGATTGAATTTTTAAAATGCTGCTAAGTATTCAAATTTAAATCTTTTATAAACATCTATATGTCAACCAAAATAATAGTACTTAAACAAACAAACAAACAAAAAAAACAATAAAATAAATAATTTTAATACATATAAAAAAAAAAAGTTTTTTTTTAAATTTTCCTTATATAAAAAGTTTCAGTTAAAACCTTGTCAAGCCAACAGGAAGAAATAATAATTACTTAATGACATAATTCATTTAGTAAACAAAAACTTAACGAAAAATTGCCAGAATTTTATTAAATGCATGAAAACAAATAAAAAAATATATATATATATTTATATATTATTTTTATCTTTTTATTTTATCATTAATTACAAATATATATATGTGCATTATTGTTAGGTTTTTATTTTCTCATAAATAATTATATTAATAAATTATTAATAATAAAAAAAACCAATAAGATGACTAATTAGTTTGATTTTATCAGCGCGTTTTTGCAAAAAAAATGGTGGCCATGTTATCAACAAAAAAATATATATGCGTGGTCATTCAAGATGTGCGACCGCACGTGTCTCCTGAGAAGGCCGGCAGCTACACTTTTAAATTCATTTAAAATGTAATAAAAAATTCAGTGAAAAAGAATAAAGTAATCCGATGCCAATAATAAGAGAAGATCCGGTTATTAAACAACATTCAACGCCAGAGCTAGAAAGTTCTTAAGAAAAGCAACAGTTATAATTCCTCTTGTAACAGTAATATTTATCAAAAGAAACCACACACGGTATCAGAAATGTGATTAATTTGTAAAAAAGCAGAAAGAAAAACCTTAACAAAATTTAACATAATACTAGAAGTAAATGAACAAGATAAAATTATCTCATATATATATATATATATATATATATATATATATATATATATATATATATATATATATATATATTACTATAACTCCAAGTTATAGTAAAAAGTATTCAAGTATTCAGCCATGTTTTTTCAAATAGTTTATTGTTTGGTTGTGCATACATTATCATCATTCATTATCATTACTTTTGCATACATGTTTCTGTCCTTGCTGCAAGTTTGACATTTCTTAATGTCTTTTTTTTTTAACAAAATTAATATTTTCTTTGCTTTAATTTTTAATGGTAACCTCTTACTGTTTTTGATCTATCATACTTTGAAAATTAGTTACGATATAGTTCAGTGCTTATAGGTCATAGTTTTAATAAAACTATGAACTATAACCACTAAACTAATAAATCATATTTAATGACTTACGATGTATTGATTTTTGGTGTTAACTAACAAAATTTTCTACCATATGTAGTTGAGTTAACAATTTGTAATTTTTTTACTTAAAAAAAATACTATTATTAAAGTATTCAGGAAAAGGTATTTTGTATTAAATTGCTGTTATCATGTAAAATAATTGACTTTATTAATTTATGTTCCATTTAAACAAAAAAAATAATAGCCTACAACCTGCTTTCTTTAAAAAAGTGTTTTGAACTATATGTAATAATGAAAATTCAAATATATTAGTTAAAATTAATGGCTTTGGAGTATATAAATAAAACTTCTTTATCAAATAATTCTTTATCATAATCATCGACACCAACATCATAAACATTGTTGTCGTCAGGAGAAGCTGCGTTCTCACTTTTTAAGCAAATACATATTTCTAAACATTAATGCTAAGTGTTAGTGAAATAGACTTTATTTTATTATTGGGTTTAGATTCATTCTTTTTCCACTCTTTTAATAAGGAATTTGTTGGTAAACATTTGGTAACATTTTAAATAATAAAATGGAGAGTAAGTGCTTCCTATAAGTCTGAAGCATAAAGATCCTTAAATAAAACATCTTTTCCAATGAAATTGAAAGAATTCTCTGCAACAGTTT